ATATTTGTATTTATATTCACATTTATATTCATATTTATATTCATATTCATATTCATATTTATATTCACATTTATATTCATATTTATATTCATATTCATATTCATATCCATGTTCATATTCATATTCATATTCATATCCATGTTCATATTCATGTTCATATTCATATTCACATTCAACCTTCATATTCAAATTAACCTTCATATTCATATTCATATTCATATTCATATTCATATTTATATTCATATTTATCTTCATATTTATATTCATATTCATGTTTATATTCGTGTTCACATTCACCTTCATATTCATATTCATAGTTATATTCATATCTCATAATTTACAGCGCATCTGCCTAGTCGCGCATACCCCATCAGCAGCCCTTTTGTTGATTTCTGATTTCTTTTTCCCTGTGCACGTTTTGTATCTAGGACTATATAAAAGTTAGGTACTTTGAGTACACATAGTTTCCGGAACCGCCTCGTGTAATGGCCGCAATTATCATGAGCTTGGCACGCACCACCACGACGACGACGACGACGACGGCGACGCTGGTGACGAGCAATCGTGGTGCATTGAACCGCTGGCAATTGATTTTTGACATGACAATTTCTTTTTTATAGGGTGTAAAGTTGAAATAGAAGCGACTCACTTTAGCTTTATATCGATTAGAGTGAATGGGTAGAGCAGTTCGAGTCGGTGATATAGTCAGTCAGTATATGTGTATGTGTGTACATAAAAGCTAATATAAAGTTTGTTTATAGCTAAATAATTCAAAGTTTTTACACTTTTTGTTGCCTACTTTTAGGCTGTATTGAATTTACCCCAAAACTAGGGAACATCTGCTAGAATTCGGCTTGCATTCACAAATGTTTTTAAGATTTGATTATAGACTTTAAATATGAAATATATAGTCGACTAGACATACATTGTATATATGCTCTATGTGCTCTATAGAGTCTACTACATCTAGATATCCTAAGTACTTTATATACTCTATGTACCTTTTACACTTCATTACAGCTAAGTACCCTAGGTACTCTCTATACTCTATATATTCTATGTACTATATATACTTTCTATTTTTTTATATGTTCTATATTCTCTATATACTTTATATACTCCATATACTCTATATATCTTAAGTACCTTATATATTCTATGTACTTTTTAGACCTCATTACATCAGATAGATAGGGTCAATACCCTAAATACTCTAAAATATATACTCTATATATTCTCTATACTCTCTATATTCTCTATATTCTCTATCCTCTCTATACTCTCTATACTCTATATACTCTATATATTCTCTATACTCTCTATATTCTCTATACTATATATACTCTATAAACTCTATATAGTCTATATACTCTCTATATTCTCTATATTCTCTATACTATATATATTCTATAAACTTTATATCCTCTATATACTCTATATACTCTATATACTCTATGTACTCTATATACTCCATATAGTCTCCATTTTCTCTACACTTATCACAGCATTAAAAAGCCTCATATTATCCCAAATTTTGAGTTCCTTGCCAATAGAATCGAATAGTTAAATTTATCTTCTTTCATTATATTATATATTATTATATTAAATATTATTTATCTAATTAATATTTAATTAACTCGATCAATCCATTCGCCATTCGCATCATTCCACACAGGAAGCTCTTGTTTTTCAGGTCGCTTTGTGCCATCAGCGCCCACATCGTCATCATCGACCTGGCCGATGCTCAGGTGCTGCAGGTGAAAACAATAAACACAGCCATAGATACAGTAAAGCCTCGCTTCACACACACTCACCCCGCTCAGCAGAGCCAAGAGTATGACAATAATATGAATGCAAATGAATTGCAGCCGCATTTTATTTATGTTTCTTTTGTGCTCCGTTGACTCGCTCGCTTTGTCGACTGAATCAATTTTTGTTATTTGCAAAAACATTTAAATCGAAAGAAAATAAAAAAAACTGCACAATATTTATTCAATATTTTATTCATGTTGTTTGCCATTATCAGCTGCGGCTGCTGCTGCGGCTGCGGCTGCTGATAAGGCCAAAGGCAATTTGATTGAAAAAAAAAAAAACAGGTGAAATACGGCCCGACTAGCAAATACCCGGAACGCTGTTAAGAGATGATAGTCCAATCCAGCTGTGCTTCTTATAAGACTTTATTCTAAGTTGGGTTTTCTTTTAACCTTTTAAATTCAAATCTCTTAAAGAATATTTGGAAAATGGAATTAGTTATAAGAAGAAGCTGAGTTTGCTGTGGAACAGTTGGACAGAAGGACGGATAGAGGTAGAAGAAGGACAATAGAAGTCTCCTTCTATGATGAATGATCTGACGGATGGACAGATAGATATACAAATGGACGAACGACCGGACAAAACATAGACAATTAGATGGACATAAAATTAGATAGACGAACAGATGGAAGGTTAAATGGTCAACCGGAAAAAATTAAATAGACTCAGATTTTAGCCAGTCCATTAAGGGTATATATTCCTATAAATATAACTCAGATTTTAGTCAGTCCATTTAGGGTATATATTCCTATAAATATATATAGTATATGTATTTGTTCTTCCTTCTTATAACTGTCATATACATTTTCTCAAAAACCACTATACCCTGAGCTCCCATTTTCAATGGGTATAAATGAGAATGTAAATGTTTTTTATTCATAATCTCATAAATCAATGTGTGCTTAATGAAACTGGGGAACTTTAGGGACTTCCTAATGCCTGACATTGTCATCTATACACATATACATACATTTATATATATGTAAATAAGCATGTATATGTGATTGGATAGAAACCACTGCAAGCCATTGTCATGGACTATAGAGTCTATAATATCCTATATCTAGTCTAGCTGTTCCCATGAAGAAAATATACATAAATCTTTGATATGTATTGATATATGAAATGTTATCCAGCATAACTGATAGTCGTTCATACCCTATCCAAGGGATCTATAAAGTAAAAGTAAAGTAAGACAGAAGAGGTATATCCTCTATGATAATTCCTGCTCTTCCAGCCGACTATGTCACAAACTAATATACTCTCTTCATACTGCATAAATATGCATCAAAAGCGAACAATAAATATAATAAATATATCGAACGAAATAAACTGTCATAATTTAAAGCCAATTATTAAAGGCAAATGTTATTTGCAGCCTTTTGAAGCAGCATAAAATGCGAATAAAATGTTTCAATAAATGTGAAGAGCTAAAAATTGTCATATAAAATATATATATGTATATCATATAGTACAAATAAAAAACTGAATGTAAGAAAAATAAAATTTAATGGAAGGCAAACAAAAGCCAAGTCGAGCCAAGCAAAGTCAAGTGAAGCCAGAAAGAGGAATTACCCGAAGGGGAAGCACTCGATAGATAAGAGCTTTGAGCTCTGAGCGGCTGCAATTGATGGATTCCTGGCTGAGCTATATAAGCGCGGCGCTAGCTCTCAGTGTTTTATCAATCGATAAAGCGAGTTACTCAACGCACATCCATACATATACAACATGCAGCTAACACTCATTGCTCTGCTCTGCTGTCTGCTTGGCGCCGCCTGGGCCATGCCTCAGCCGGAACGCCAGCCGGAGCCGGCGCAGCCCAAGGCAGATGTCTGGAACGAGAGGAAGCAGTTTAATCCGCCCAATGAGCAGCGATTCCTCGTAGATGGCATCTACAACAAGGATAACAGCGGCAAGGATGTGGCCGCCCGGGTTCAGGTGCCCGTCTGGACCAGCGACAACAAGCGCCACGAATTCGATACCGTCGTCCAATATGGCCAACATCTGGGCGGTCCCTATGGCGATAGTCCACCATCGTATGGCATTGGAGGAAATTATAGATTCCGATTTTAATTAAATACCAATTTCTTTTCTTTTTGTAACTACAAATATGTTAATAAAAAAAGTCTTTCGGCAAATGTAAATTTAATATAAAACAAGCGTTGAATTATTGAAGCATCAGCTCTGCGTAGGGTTCAGGCTGAGCTCTAGCCAAGCCCTCACTCTCTTTCAGACTTACTTAAGAAAAATTCTAGAGAGACTTAATATTGTATATTTTGACTATAAAAATTGAGAGCTGATTAGTAGGCCTGTTAAAGGCTTTATATATTAATGTAAAACTTAATTTATTAAAGCTAATAATAATCTAAAATGTCTAGGCTTAATAGAAACACATATAAATGTATTATTGATCTTGAATGCAGAGTGGAGCAGTTAAAAAGCAAATAGTTAAAAGCAAATATATGTATAAATACAATATTAGATAAATTAAAAACATACATATATAAAAAAATAGCATGTAAATGATATAATAATATCAAATAAAAAATAAGGAGAATACAATACTATATAAATTATAAAAAATATATATTAAAAACATAGATAAAATATACAAAACAAATTTTAATATATAAATATAAAAAATTTAATTTAATAAACTTTATACTATATAAATTAATACCAAATTAAATATATCTAAAATGTATAATATAAAATACAAAAAATAAATATAAAAATATTATAAATAAATAATCTGTAAGTCTTAAGTAATCAGTACAACGCTTTTAGAGCACTTTGAAAATTTTATGTTAAATCGAATAAATCGCTTTTTTCATAATAATACAGCAACTTTGTATTTTTGTATGAACTATATTATTTTGCAGCTAAAAGCACCGTAGCTTAAGACAAAACATTTTTTCGAATACAAACAGAAAAACTCACACAAGCTTGCTCGCGCCAAAAAAAAAAAAAAAAAAAAAAAAAAAAAAAAAAAAAAAAAAAAAAAAAAAA